CAGCAACTCCCTGCTGGCTTCAGACCAGGTAATTATGTCATAACAAGGGCTAGGTTTCCATTATAGCAAAGAGATGAAAAGGAAAACAGACTTAGGAAGCTAGCCTGTCTTTACGGTATGTCTCGCCTGCAAATCAAGAGAAGCAAATATAACATGCTTAGGAATACCTGAGTTAGCTTTAATTTAGTTAGTTCCAATAAAGATAGCAGCTTCTACAGAGACTGCATAAATGCCACCAGGAATCCTGGTTTTTACTCTACAGCAAATAGTCCATGCTTGAACTGGCATGTTACACCTACAGTTACCAAAATTAGCAAGATTACATTTGTCTTAGGTTGCGGAGCACGTATACTTATATGTGAAGGTGCGACTACAGAGCACGCATACATTAAAGCAGCCTATATACTGGTATAACAAATCAAGTTGCAGATACAGTTCCACAGGACACACAGCTCATCTCTCTTAACATAGAGATCTCCTCTACTGCGCGAGTTGAAGCTACTACAATACACAAGTAATGATTTTATAATTTTTTGCAATAGAACAGATCATGAATAAAATGTGAGATGGTAAGTTAAAAAGCAGAAAAATAGTAATAATGAAAAATATAATACAAATTACATGGGATCAAACACCTTATTCTCCTGCGTACCTCATACCCATAAAACTGAGAAGTATACAACTGTGCATAAGTAAGTGTATTAACCCCTGGAAAACTGCCAGGAACATCAACAGCTTCCCCTCCAACTCAGGAACACAGAAAATATACATTTACTGATACTAAAGTGGTACATGTTTAAAACTAAACATGTATTTAAATGTTAGGTAAAAATATTTTAAATCAGCATGGGCTCAATTGTTCTCTTATACAGGGATGCAGAACAGTATTTCACTTTACTGCCTGCCTGGACAAGGAGCCATAGAAGTTGCTCAGCCTTCCACCTAGCCACTCATGTTATGGCCAGCAGGCATCACGCAGCCGAGCTACCAAAAGGCATGTATGTACAACAGTGGACAACAAAAAGCAACGTGAATAGAGACTGGCACAAAGGGGAATACAAAGCACTGGAGAAAGACATCAGGCCACACAAAGGAACCTCAGCACCGCAAGAGTCAGTGGGTAACTACTCTGTCTTCTATAAAGGACACAACTCCTATGGGGTCACAGACACATAACTCCCTTCCAGCAGAAGGGAAAAAGTTCTCTTGCAACAAACCCACACCTAGATTCCCCTGGTCTTGCAGCTATCGGAAAACCAGTAGTTTCCCCAAAGCTCTTTCTCCTCTCCCTCATCTCCTTCTGCTCAGAGTAAGGCGTGAAAGATGGAGAAAAGCTCAGACTTACAATACAAATTCAGCTATAAGTTCACCTTGGAGAGGCTGCCACATGTATCACAGTGGTTTGTAAAAGCCCTGACCTAAAGAAAAAAAGCATGCAAACCAGACAAATTTAATTTAATTTTATTATGGAAATGAAAGTAATAACAGAAGTGACAGCAGGGTGGATGATAAGCTCACTTAGCAGGGGGATCAAATGAAGTGATGACATGTCATTACGACCTCAGGGGTTAAAGATGCAATTTTCCATCTGGCTGCATCTGCCTTTTCAACATAAATGTTGACACCACCTGCCGAGATTTACTACAAGCTGCCTCCATAGGTCTTTGTCTAGATTTTGTTACCTAGGTTAACATTTACTTTTCCCTCTTTTCTGATCAGTTTTGATGACCAACATGCTCCCTTTCTTCAAAACCCAATGAACAGTTAAAAGGATTTTACATGCCACTTTATATAATAGACCAAATTATTAATAGTAACTTCAAAAGTTATCTCTCCAAGAGATACGAGAAACCTACAAAGCGGGTAAAACTAGCCTTAAGATTGCAAACAGGAAGATATTAGCTACACTTGCTAATATCTTGCATTGTCTAAGACTTCTAGGAATCTACTTTTCTCTTAATAATAGGTACCTGAACGAAATAATTTATCTGAAAAAAATCCTTAGAATTAAAGAACTAGATTATACTCACCATATCCAATTGACTATTAGCCACCTGCATGTCTTTTATTCAGCAGTTTAACAATTTCCAATTCTAGATACATTGTGCTTAGAATAAATCATCTTTTGCCAGCCTAGTGACACATTCACTTATTCATCTAATTTAGCCACAGCCAAACTATGATCTCAAACCAAATTTGTAATCAGCTATTGACACATTGTTGGCTATAAAGTTTTTGTTTCCACATTGAATATTTAAAAGCTACTACCAGTAGTGTTCCTCTCCTGCAGGCTTAATCTGGAATAGGACTGTATGCTTACTACCACTTGACACATCCACTACATCTTTGCCCGTGCCAAACTTTTTTTCTAAACCTACAGCTCCCAGACTTTTCTCTGCTAGTACAGGTAAGCTAAAAAGCTTGCTTCCAGCTGTTTTTAAAGTGTCCAGATTCTTCACTAAAAAGAACCTACAGTCTGTTTTAAGTGTTTAAACAAAGAGGCCCCAACCTCCATTAGAAAGAGGGGAAGAAAAGAAAAACCCTCCACAGATTTTGAGAGCACCCTGGGACTACAGCTATGAAAAGACAGGAGAAAAATAGAGACAAAGAAAGTTAATGAAGCTTGCATGCAGCAAAGAATAGCTAAGAAACAAAACAGAGAAAGTATCCAGACTGATCAGACACGCAAATAACTTCACTGAAAGACCACCACAAAAATACCTATAAATACCTTCCCCTCCCAAAACTCTTTCACCACAAAGGCAATTACCAGAGGGATGTTATAACCTTCTTCCCCTGGAATGGAAGATGTACCACCCCCCTCTCCAGATGCCTTACTCACCTTGGGGAGCTGGGAACCCTTGTTCTTAACAGACAAGTCGCCACCCATTTCTGTATCTGTTAAGGTACTTTCTGATTGACAAGTGAACTTTGTTGTTCCCTTCAACAGGGAGGGAAAAAACAAAGTGTTCCTGTTTACTTCGCACATGCTTAACTTCAAGCACATGCTTCACTGCTAAACTGAACAGGAATATCTTAAGCATATGCTTAAATGCTTTCCCGATTCAGACCCTAAAAATAGGAATGGTTTCTGCAGTTCCTCTTTCTCTTGTTCTCCTAATGACAGACAACTATTGTGCCGTGTCGTTATCACAATAAGATAGCTTAATTGCCCTCTTTCCAGAAGCTGTCAGTTCTGCTTAACTGGTACATAATGTATGCGTCTGGGAGTAAATGTGTTAATGTATCAGTCACTTATATCTACCATACATTTTCCTCTGCTGTATTTAAAGAAAGCCCAGGTTTTTATGATTGACTTGCTAGGCATTATATTCATTGATATGGGCAGCAGTGATATTACTGTCTTATGACTCATTTCTTCGTGAAAGATGGATGAAAACAACTTTGTCCTCCTTCATTTACTGCACTTTTTCAACTCAACTTCAACCTGAACATGAATTTCCCTATACTTGTATTTGAGTTGTGGCCAAAAAAGGCCTCCTCAAAAATGACAGTGTAAAATGAACTGGCTGTTCCTGTAACTAATTAGGATTGATGAATCAAAAGGTTTGGAAAGACCTGTAGTTGCTTTAGAATATTTTGTGCATTGTTTTCCTGTAGTAAAATAGTCACTGAAAGCATACAGAGAAGAGTAAGAATCAACAATATCTACAACATGTAATAAGCAGCTACGAATTGAAGGCCTTTAATTCTCTAAGAAGTGCCGATAAGGTTACACCTAAATATACAGCCTATGCAAGCTGGCTCAATTCTCTTTCATATTCTCCTTTCTGATCATGATTATTACCAAGTTCTCTCTATACCCCCTCACTGCTTTTTGTGTCTTGTGTACTTAAGAAGTTATTTTTTCTCCCACAGTCTCTCATTAAATTGTGAACTGGAATACAAAGACTATTTTTAACCACTGTTTTACGAGTCAGTATGTTGCTATATTAACAAATATGACAACGGCATTTTTTGTGTTTTATTAGTCAGGCCTTTCTTTTCAGAGAAATATTACTTGCAACTCATACACGTACTTTTGTGGGCCTTCAGAGAAGGCTGTGAAGACATAAAAAGTGAGGGAGAAAAACCAAAAGCTGTATGAAAAATAGAATAAATCTGACAAGAACTGACAAGAAATCTTAGTTAGATTTGAACACGCAGCTTGCTTTGTTCATTTAATCCATTTCTCACTGTTTTCCTACCAATACTTTTGTTTTTAAACCATTAAAGCATGCTGATACTTCTAACCTGTCTGGCTGCAAAGCTCCCAAGACTCTGGAAATACGTAAAGCCATGCTGACTCCATTGAAAGAACACAGGCGAGACACAGAAGTGGTGAAGTGTAGGGACTTTGCCTGGAAGTGGCAGAGTCACTGTTTCCTCTCAAGTGAAGCAGAAGCCAAAGCACATTGCCAGGGAGAGTGAGCTGGGCAAGAGTACACAGCACACAGATTTGTGACACTCACTCTGGTGTTAATAATCAATTATTATTAATCAACTGCTACAGTCCATAAATCAACTGTTTCATACAGATGTAAATGGTTCGCATGTGCTCTGACCAGAATTGAAAGTTGTCAATTCTATTGGAAGTTATAAATTCAATCCTGAACTGGTTGTTGTTTCCTACCTTTTTCCTAATGTTACTTAAGTGCTATATAAACATTTTTGTTCCTAAGAAAGATCACAATGGAATGAAAATTCCCCAGAAGCTGTTTTTTCCCCCCAAACCATTAATATATTAATGAAAATTCACATTTTTATTTAAAATGCAATTCCTCCCTCCCTTCTCCAATGATGTCACTACCTAAAAAAAATGCATTAAGTGTCTTCACTGATGTAGTAACAGCAGCTGGATAGCCAAGGTTACTAAATGAAAAAGACTGATCACACTTCCATTTATAGGAGATAGCATTTCTTTTGATTTTACTGATACTTGTTGATAGATGAGGTATGCTAAAAACATTTCCCACATCAATAACTACCTAGGAACTTACCTGGTTTTTTGAATCCAGATGCAATAGTCTGCAATGAAGAGATCATTAAGGATGTAGGCAGGGTCATTCTCCATAAAAATCTTGTGAATGTCCAGCAGACACTTCAAAACTGCAGCTTTTCCTGGAAATAGATTTTTATTTTTATAATTCACTAGAAATCATAATAGATAATCTTTATCATCTTCTCACCTTTGTGGCTTTAATAACCATGCGATCTACAATCATCTTGTAACTTTAAGTTGATTCACAGTCTCAGAACAGCAATAAGATGATTATGTCCCTCAGTATCCACATCTATGTGGATGTGGAGCCTCTGAATTTAGCAGGAATCTCTCTGCAAGACTAAAGCCTCAAGACATAGTCATGCGTGTAATTCTCTACAGTTGAAGAAGCCCCCTCCCCCAGCTTTTCCACTTCTCTCTGAGCTGTGCTGGCCCGAACTTTAGCACAGTCACACAGTGAACCATATGGGGATGAAGAAAAGGGGGGGGGGGGGGGGGGGGGAGGGGGAGACAAGCTGAAAAGTAATTTGCAAATAACAAAAAGTTACACCGCATCATTTACCTGAAGAAAGAGAAAACCTATTTCCCTGTATGCCTACACAAATACCTGTGCTGGAAAATAATACCTGTGCTGTGTGTTGGGAACACACAGCCCACAGCAGGGTCAAGCACACAGGAGCCACAGCAATTGTGTAAACCCATGTAAGCGATACCATCACCTAACATCTAACCATTGCCTTAAATTAAGCAGAACTTTTCCTACTTCTGATAGTTACAGAATAATTTGGCAAATTGAGCCCCCAGAAGAAAAACTCACTTCAGGCTCAAGAAGGTGCCATTTGACATACAGTTGATAAATGCAGTAAAAGATTAAAAACTTGAATACTTTCTCATTCCATACCCAGAAATCTTTCTGTCGTCAGTTTAATTTTCTTCATATGCAACCGTTGTTTATGAAGAAGAGAACTGATTAATGTAACCTGCAATTAGCTGGAACCTCCTCCCTTAGTTTTCTGATGAAAATTCCTAAAGGGTTAAGTGCTGGAACACTAAAAAGAAAAAAATTATTTTCACTGTTTAATGGGGGAGAAAAAAACCCAAAACATTCAAATGAAAACAGCCACTACTGCAAATGAAATCTAATAACCCTCTCCCAAGAGGCTGGCTCCTCCTAGGCTATGAAACCTGAACATGGATGAAATTACATTTTACAGATTTTTAAAAAAAAAAAAAAAAAAAAAAAAAAAGATCAGAACTCCCCCTGCTGTTCAAGCACAAAATTTGTTTGTTTGTTTTTAAGTAATCCATGCTGAAAAAAATATAGACAGAATGAAAGTTAGAGGATGTGGAAGATGACAATAAGGAGAAAGAACCTGGAGAGTAAAAAGCCATGGCAAACAGAATTGCAAAAACCCCCTGGTTTGGAAGAGAGCAATTGAAGAAGTGTCAGAAAAGAATGCAGAAGAAAACATAAAATCCCAAATATAACTGATGAACTTTTAGATTGTATCACTATCAACGCTTGTTAAGCCAAGCTTGTCAAACTTAACTATTTTGACTAAAAGAAGTGTGCTCTTTTAAAAAGAAATGATACGTGGAATTAAAATTTTGCTAATTTTTTAAGGTCCTAGCTGTCAAGCTGCCATCCTGAACCATTTACAACATCTGCCAAGTAACAATGTAAATTAGTGACTATAACACTAATTCTCAATAAAAAGTAGTCTTTCTTTATAAATTACAGTTTTAGATTATAGTAGCTTAATGGGCCTCTAATCAGAGAGGTTGCAAATCTAGCCAGACTTAATAATATAGGGAACCCTACATACAGGCAAACTCACGGAGCACAGTAAACTACCAAACTTCTGCTTTCAGAATATGCGTCTTATACATGCACCCTATAAACAAGAAGTCTTTATACAAAACCATATTCAACTCCTTACCACAGGCATAAAAAGTAAGAGTGAAAGAGCAAACACTATTCTATTTAAGCCTTAATGTAGGATATTCAATAACACACAGATGATTCTTGGCCTATTTCTGCGAAATTCCAAACCGTAGGTTCTGTCTTTGGATATCTACTTCTGTCTTCAGTAGACATCTGGTCTTAACTTCCAGGCTGTGGTTATATATTCAGTAATATTATTACTTACCCTGGCTTAAGTACTCTTTATTGCACTCCTTTGCCTCCCTCTTTTCTACAGCTCTTTGTGCAAGTATTCGTGAAAGTGCAAGTATTCGTGAAACCATACAGCGAACTGGATCAGAGAACTGATGAAGCCAAAAGACAAACAGGCTAGGGGCTTTTTTGGCAGTTATTTCAGTCCAACTCACTGAAAGGTTGTCTATCAAAGCAAACCTAAAATATGCTAGTTTTAAAAGTCTTACTTCTTTTGTAGCTTTAGGATTGTCATTTTTTAAAATTCACTATATACTGGAGTTAAGAAAGCCATGGCATGTCTTTATCTTCTATTCCTAGGACAACCAATTTCATTTTCTTCACATAGCTTAGAGAGGCAAGCACTTAAGTTCAAGGGTGAAGAAGAAAAATCGTCTATTTAGGAAAACAGCAATAAATGTTTCAGAGCAGGCACAAGAAACTTTGATAATAATCTCAGGAAATATGAATGATTTATTTTTAAGTCAGTTTTTGCTATCTTCCATGTAAAGTTACAGCTCTACATTATACTGATGAATAAATGCTCTGCAGGTGTGGGGTTTTTTTGGGGTTTTTTTGTGTTTGTATTGTTTTTGTTTGTTGTTTTTTTTTTTTTAACAGATACTATTTTACATATAGATACTATTTCCTGATTATTCAAAAAAACAACTGGTTATAAGATTCCAACTTCTGTAATAGAATCAAAAATATTTGGTCTTCTAAGCTATTAAAATTTAAGATGTAGAACTTAAAAGTATATGACTTAAGACAGACTTTAATACCCTCTATTTTTTGGCGTGAAGATCTGTGTTAGAGGTAAAGGAGGATTACAACCAACTTGAAATTGGGATACATTGCAAGATGGGGTATCAAATCTAAAAAAATCATTGTTTTTCTGAGACAAAGGTGGTTTTCTTTTCCTGCCATTAAAAATCATTACGTTGCTGTTGGGGAGAGGATGAGTTGCAACTTCAGAGGAAAAGCAGCAGAGTGGCTGAGCAGACAAGGAAAAAATCGTAAAAGTCAGAGCATATGTCTGCAGATCACTGGATTCTTCTGGAGTTCATTGCTATGACAGCTGGTAGGTAACAGTCCACAGCGTTAATTCTACAGTTTCAGAAATTCAGTCCTCTTTCCACAGATTAGTTCAAAAAAGGATACAATTTGACCCTAGCTCTGTATCTGCCATTTGATATAACAACCTACTGATTTTACACCATCATGAAATTCTACCAGCTTTCACACTCAGTATTTGGAAGCAAAGGAAATTAGTAGTCCCATCATTCTATTTTACATTAAGTTACTGTTCCTGCAGACTTCTAAATGTTTTTCCACATTTTCAAGGAGGAGGAGCATTCATCTAAAGATAAACTGAACTTTACTGTCTCATTAAAAAGTGAGAACAGTATTCTTAAAAACAAGAAAAGAATTCTTACAGACTTTTAAACGAAACCTCCTGGTAATAACTTAGCCAGCTAGGCGACAGTACTATCTTTTTTAAATGGATAATCATATCATCCTAAATCTGTTAGTGTTAACTGCTGTATGGAAAGAAGCAAACCATATTTTATGTCGCAGAAAAGAGCACAAATGAGTTTTCTCTTTATTATTTAGCTCATAGACGATAACTTCCAAATCAGTATTACGCAATGGTAACACAGTGTCAGTAAATACTGACAGAACCAGCCACACCACTTACTTATTACAGGTCTACTGAAAAGAAAAAGGGCTCCATATATTTACATAAAAACCACACCTGATACATTTTTGTTAGTCAACTGTCAAATGCAGTACATACATTTTGTTAGAAATAGCATTGTAGCTGGATGTACCACTGCATTTCATTCCCTTTTTTAATCCTATCCAAAGAGCAGATAAATACAGATATCCTAGATAACTACGCTGAATTTTGAACAGTTTTGCTGAAGTATTTTAAGTATTATAAATCACTAAAACAGCATATGAAAAAATCTGCCGAGGACCTCAACATTAATCAGTGATACAAGTGATACTTAATGCATTCATCTCACAATCAACACTTTGGCAGGAAGTCTTAATTAAAAATAAAGTGTTTCAACCACACACAAGGATCCTTAATAGCTTAAAAATGCAGTATCCTGTACCTTGGAAGCGATCCACCAACGTAGCACTAATTTTAAGTCAAGTCACATAACTTGAGGCATAACAATTCAGTCCCATCAGAATTCTTTACCATTTTAAAATAAATTAGTTTACTGTGCTTACTATTATTATCAAAACATCATATTATACTATGTCCCAAATTCTGTTACCAGCATCCTGAAAGAAACCTCAAGTCAGGATGAGGTCAACTCAGACCGATTCTTCCTTTAAGTTAAACACCGGTCCTCTTGCATCTACATGAAAAGGAATAGTTTTGAGGTACTATTTAACTGAATTCATTATCTGTTTACTTGACAGTCATTTTCACCTACGTTCATCACACATCTATTGCAATACAGTGCCAAACTGGTGAGGCATCATTTCCAGTAAACAAAGAGGATAACAGAGTATTTAATGCTATCTAACTACTATGCTTTGCACATTGCATAGTTTGCTAAGTATTTTGTAAAAACAGAAATTCCCCAAAAGCATGGCTCAACTTCCACTGAAGTTAGAAGAAGGAAACATTTTGACTGAACAAATATGTCTTGGCAGTAGAAGCATTATCTACAAATCCATTTCTTTTAAGAATACATAGACACACACTTTTTCCCCCCATTTTCTGATTATAGACAGGTAATACATCCATTTTGTATCTTTCCCAATTCTTTGGTAGTTGGCTATTTTAAAAACTTAGCACTTTTCACACTATACACACACCATAATAGTAAATGCTAATTTGATACACAAACCCCAGAACTTTCAAAAGTTAACATTAATCACCATTACTTGTATCATTACACGGCTAATTTGCTAATGCCCCTCCCAATAGATTTATGTCCACACGAAGGAAGTAATATATTTGTGTCTGCTTCCCAGGCAGTACCTGGAGATTATCATGGCTCATACTCAAGACAGTGTCCTCCTCTCCACTATTAACAACTCAATTTGAAATGGGCATGCATTCTCTTTTCTTGAGGCTTGCACGTGCCTTTTCAGCATCCTGAAGATCCACGGCCAGCTCTGCAGAGGCAGACGGTCGCCCCATCCTGCACCGTTTCCCAGGCAACCGGCACAGCACAGACACGCACAGAATGAAGCCAGGTCTGCTGCATTTCTTAACTTCTTCCACTGCTTCTAAACCATTCTAACCATTAACTAAATAAAGCTGAATTTCTGTTAAAGCTTATGGCAGTAATTTTTATGCAGACCACTAAGGTAAGAAAAACTAAGGCTAGCCTATCTCCCGTCCCAGTAGAGAATGAGTGAGCGTACCCAAACTACTCCTCCAGAGAAGACGGGGACTTTGGTGCTGGAGCAAGACCATCATGGCCGACACAGGGAGACCACGACAGTAAGCACTACTGGGGCCACTGTGTTTTGGAAGCAGAGGGTAAGGAGGCAACAGCAGCCACATGTCCAAAGTAGAAGGATGGAGCAGGAAACCTGACAAACAGTTATTGTAGATGCCACCTCCCTTACCAAACTACTGAAAATATTTTGTTACGTCATTGAATGTTCACTCCAATACCATTTTCCATCACAACATTAAAAGAAAAGCAAATAGCCCACCTCTCATGTACTATCCTCTTAAGAAAAACAAATCTAAAAGGCTGGCAGCACTGTATGATTTCAGTTTTGTTATCAGAATTTTATTTTTTCACACTTATGAACAGCAGCATAAGCCAGTGGAGATAAGTGAAGAGGGACAGCGTGTATCCTCCCCTTAAAACTTCACTACCCGACTGTTAAAACGTAAATGTATTTTGAATCATCAGAGGTTTTTGGCAGTAGTAGAGATTAATATTGTCATTTGTGTTTTGTTTTTTTTTTTAATCCTGCAACTCACAAGCATTGAAAATAATCCAGCCAAAGTGCTGCTTCTCAGTGATTCTTCTGTCCAAAAAAAAAAAAATAAATCTAACACTGAATGCTTTTTTTGAAATTAGTAACTCATAGTAAACAGAAAAGTTGCAAGTAACTTTAGCAACCCAAAATATAAACATGGTTGTGTACAACTGCACAAATGAAGCTGGAATAACCAGAGGTTTGAAAATTTGTGCTGTTACATGAAAGCTGTCTGGGATAAACAGGGATAAAAAGAATGTCGCTGCTGAAAGAATGATTTGCAGTCATTAAAATGATTATGACAGCTCCACTCCTGAACGTGAAACAAAACAAAACTACAAATATGTAGTGTGTAGTCAGTTTTTTATTCTAAAGTGTTTTTTGTATTTTTTTTAAATTATTATTTATTTATTTTTCAACAGAATAGTTTTCATGGTAGGCAATGCTTGTTTTTTTCATTAACAGCTCTACTTGGCTGTTACTTAGAACTGTCTTATTTTCCTAATAACCAGCAGAGAACTAAGATAACATACGCAAGTCAGAGATTTTGGCCTCTGCTCCTAAGAGAGAAAAATTTTATGTGAAGTACTAAAAGAACAACGATGCAAAACAAGTTTTGATGCTGATACAAATTCAGGATTTCTGTTCTTTCCAGACTACCACTGGATTTACCACAGAGTCATCTCAACCATTTTGCCTTAATCCTACAAAGAACTGTCACACTGAATATGAACCACAAAACTACCCCTTGCCCTCATATGTGTGATTCTGTATGGCAATACTAAACTGGCACACACAATGGAACAGTTCAGGAATTGAGATGGCTAGATGTCAAACACATTTTGAATAGGAAAAAAAGAAAATAATTAATGGACTGGCTCAGTTTAAAAAAAAAAACCCAAAACAACACATCTAATTCCAGAAAAAGAAACTGGCAAGGAGAGCAGGAATTCAACATCAGGGTAGGCTTCCTTTTTGTCAAAATCCTAACATCACTGACAAGGGTTAAATTAAAACAATAGTTCTTCCAAATAGTAAATCATGCAGGGAAGCTGCCCAGATCTGTGACTGTAAAACCATGATGAGCAGAACTTAATCAAACAGAAGAGCTGGAACAATTGACAACGATGATACTTTAAAAACTTCCCTTAGATGGAGACAAATCATGGAAGTTATCAGAAATCCTTCCAATCTTTTTTAACAGGGTTTCTGTCAGGTAATTAAAGAACAGAAAGAGCAACAGAAAACAACGGGACTGCGTTATTGTATTGTAACAGTAAGTGACCCTGCTTTGAAATAAAAACTTAGACACCTTTAGAATAGGGTCTAAAAAAAATTATAGTATCTAACCTACTGCAATGAAAGTTTCATTAAAATGTTCTTTTCCAACAGAAAAATCTCTTTACAGACAAATACAGTATAGAAAAAAATACTTTAAAGACCTTTCCCCTAAACCTTTACAAATCATGGTTGGACTATCCTGATTTATCAAGATACAAGATCTGATCAAAGATTTTTCTAAGGATGACACATTCATAACATTTCTCCTGTGTAGATTTTCTGGTGTGAATAATACAGCTGAACTTACACCACAACTGCATGTATTATCCGCTGGGTAATAAAGTGAGTTGCTTCAGGGGCTTTTTCCTGGTAAGAACACTAATTTTGTCCTCTTCTCTCCCCAGCCCCATTTTCACGAAACCACAAGATGTCCAGAAATGTCAGTATCTATCAAGTTTGAGTGAAACTGGCCAAAGGATTCAAAAGTTATTAAAAAACCCAGACATACAAACAATGTGGCTATATAGGCATCACCTCCAATCCCTAAAAAACTTACCTAGTTGCAGTATCATGACTGTATCACTGAAGGCACGTGTCACTAATCCAAAATGTCTGTGTAGGGGATAGCATAGCACTCTTCTTCCAAAAGATACCAGGACATCATGAATGCTAGTGAAACTCTGTGTGTATCAGTGAAAAATCCGAATTAGTCTGTGTGCTTTTCAATACAAAGAATTAGTTTTTTGTTTGTTTGTTTTCCTTTAAGGAAAAAAGTCATAGCAGAATAAGGAAAAAAAGCACATTTTTATATCTTATGCATCTAAAAATCTGTATTTTAATAGATATGGAAATCATCACATTAAATAGAAACAGGACACTGCACATTTAGTTTGCATGGCAGAGTAACATAAGTCTTATACGTTTTAGTAGTTTTGAATTAAAAAAAGAATGTAGAGAACATTAGAATAAAACATCTAACTCAAGACTTTGCCATTCTTTAGATTAAAGCAATAAATTATATCTGTCCCACAATATTATATGTATTAAGGGGAAGCTATAAAAAGCCTTTTAAGAATAAAGAAAAATTAAAACCACATGATATTAACAAAATACATGTGTACATATAAGATCTTTAAAAATGATACATGACTCTGCCTTTCATGAAAATTGTAGATATTCAAGACAGGGATAAATATATCTGCTTAGGGAAAGTAGTTCATTGTCGTCCTTTACGAGTGAGGAAGACCTCTAATTTACTCAGGCCAGAGGCATTAATGAGTTATTAAAGACTAAGAGAGTGATTTCCTTTCCAGCTTTCACTTCTAAAAACAAAATATTCCATTTATTAATTCAAATAAAAATACCTATTTCATCTTGAACTCTCAATTTACTAAAATTAATAAAAACGCTTTGCTGACAGCCAGCACTTTTTTTGCATTATATGACTACCTCAACCCATTTTTCATTTTAATGGATCGCTGGTAAGCATTTAAATAATTTATGTTTTGTTATTTAATATTTAGAGTCTAAGGTGTGTACATGTCATGCACAGCAAAATGGCAGTCAGTTCAAACAAACCATAGCTGAGGCAATTTTGTTTACAGATTGATGAAAACACCCGCCTCTACATGGTTTGTATAACAGATAGAGTTATTAACAGCTTGGTGCCAGGAGACTGAATTTTCTGGGTGTGAAATATACTGTTGGCACAGGCTGCGCCAAGAACTGCTATATTATAGGATAACCACATGCAGAAAACCTTCACTATGTTAGGATATGGATCTGAAAAAAAATTGTAGAGTTAAGGCAATCACTGCATTTTAGCTGCACTCCTTTGTGACTTGCTACTGCAGAACATTCAACTGGAAACAAATTAAAACTAACTGATCTAGAAAATCAGTTGTCACAGAACAAGTTATTACTGAATATAACATTCACCACTACTAGAAACGTTTGAAGGACTGAACCCAAAAATCCTGTCAAATTTCATTTTTGATTCTGCAAACTGAGACTTGGCTCAGTAATTTCAGGAATGAGGACAGTACAGTCCTTTCTAGCTTGCCGCCATCGTAAGAAATAGTGGATTACAGGCCAGGTTAAGTCCCTTCCACTTCCAGCTCTGTAACAACTTAATTACACAGGCCTGTGTGCTTTCAGTAAACAATCTGAAAGTGCGGAGAATAGAATTCAGTTTGTTTCCTCTAGTCTATGTTGGTTTCAAAGGGCTAGCAGCAACTAAACAAATCAGGATGTAGCAATAACACTGAAAAGAAGGGCGCGGGTAAAGCAACACACGTCCACTAACTCTACAAGAAACCTGAAACAAAAGTATTTAGCACATGTCTGAAAGATCACACTATCATTAAGCCTTAATGAGACAAGAGTTCTGCAACTACAGAACTGAGGTGTTTTTGCTACAAGAATATGGAATTCAGCTTCTCCATGACAGGTGAAAAAAAAAACAAAACACTTTTTGATTGAGTTCTAAGAGCTTTTCCTATCATTGGGTTTGCATTTACTTCTGGGCTTCAACTCTCCAACGTACTCTGAAGCCACACAGCAGAGTGGAGGAGAAGCCAGAAGCCACCTGATTTGCAGCCAAGAAAAAGAGCAAGCTAGAAGTGCAGAATGATGAACTAGGAAGGCTGAAGAAAGGCTCAGCAGTCAAAACCCCCAGAAGTGAACAATAAGCTGCTTTATAAAGGCCTGCCATCTTCAGAAGTTATTAAAACATATATCTGAGGTAGGACTTAAAGGACACAAGAACACTAAGAAATTACATTCCCTGCTTTTTATGCCCTTTATGCCCTTTCTATTTTAACATGCTTTAGCCAGTTAAACAGGAAGATATCTACGACTTCTGATCAAGGAGCAAGAAAGCTGTATCTTCTTGCCCTAAGCATAGAGTTGCATACATACTGTGGACATATGTGAGCAATAATTACAGTTACTTCCTAAATAAAGGTCAGGACTTGTGAATCAAGCCCAGGAGCTAGGGACAGTGTGCAGACGAGCAGTTTTTTCGTAGTGCCTATCCATAGCTTTTCCAGAATGGGCCAGAAGAAGACCCAGCACCCAGACAGATGAGAGGTCATACTCCATCTTCTTGAGGCTACTAGTAGCTGGGAGCCCAGAAGTCACGATCAATTTCTTGTAACATTTATTAAAAAGAGGACATACACTTAATTCATCTTCAATACTGAAAGAGTAAGCTTTCCACAAAAGCAACATACAACACCAAAAACAAATAATACAGCAAACACATGATGCAAAATTTAAATTTTAACTTACCTCCAGCCAGCACAATGTTGCACTCAGTTTCCTGACGTTCCAAGATGATTCAACCTGATTTTAAGAGGAGACCGTAAAACAAGTATTATCTAATTCAACATTCAAGACTGCTGGCAAACTATTTAAGGTAACATTCTGGCAGCAATTTAAGAACCTTTGTGAATATGAAGCAGCAATTATGTTATGTGCATTGAAATGGCCACAGGACAGCATTAAAAATTATATTGCAACGCAGATGTTAAATAACTGAATTGGTTTCTGTATTGGGAATATCTAGCCCATGCACAAAGCTTTTAAAATACAACAGCAATCACAGAAAAACGGTATTTTAGTGGAATTCTGTCCCTTTTCACCAAGCAACAGAAACTTGAATCAACAAAGCTCAAGCTAAAATGCCTTGTTTCATGAAAACAGCTCAAGCCTTTTGGCTTTCAGAGAGGGTTCTAAAGCCAGCAATACATGTAAAATGTCATTATTCTTAAAATGTGACAGATTCATAGTATTTGTGTGGTAGTGCGGTCTAGTGGGATGATTAGGGCAAAAAGCCAGGAAGTCTTGATCTATAATCCTGGCTCTAGTAAAGATTTGTGTGGCCTGAATGTCTTGGTTTTCCTATTAAAAAGGAAAAAAGAAAAAAAAAAAAAAAAAAAAGGAAAAAGAACCCACAGTGTGTTTTCCACATATACCATACAGTTATTGCAAAGATCAATAAAGAATTGTACAATTGTGTTCCTCGCATATTTGCAATTTTGTGCAACACTAACACGCAATACAACCACCATCCTAGATTATTCTGTTGAATAAACAGGTCTGGACGTTTCTGCCTGCCATTCTAAAATCCATGCCCCACAATTCAGTCTGATTAAGACAGAATGATTTTGATTATATGTTGCAATATTTTGATTAAAAGCATTGAGAAAACATCTCACTGGTTAATATCAGCAGAGGAGATGCTAGGCACAAAGTTATATCTGGAAAGCAAGTCCATTTCAAAAAGGCAAGCTATTCACAGAACAGCATGGAATCCATTCTAAACTTCTGCTGTTTTCTTAATTCTTTATATCCTGTAAAAAGCCTAGGACACAGAACACAAAGTAGAGCTGCCTGCTGCTTGTGTAACAGATAGGCAAACATCAGAATCCTGAAAATGGAAATATGGCTTCCTACTTCCCTCCAGTGTTTGAATACTAGAAAAAGAAAACCTGCATTAGGATTTTTTTATTTTTTAAATGTGTGTAAATTTTAAAAATTTTAAATGCCTCACTCTAGTTTCCAGAACGCCTCAGGAAACACCTTCTATATTCTGTGCATAAGCTTTAAAAAAAACCAACCAAACAAACAAACAAAAAAATCCCAAACACAAAAAAACCCTAAAAAGATCAGTTTTGTTAAAGGCATATAATGGCAGCCCATATAAAACACTAAACACGTGTTTTCAGTCCTACAGACTCAATGACTTCCCATGCTTTTTCAGAATCCAAATCAGTAGTGGTGTTATTACAGACAACCATACCTATTATGGAACTGTCCAAAAAACAGAAGGAAGAACCATCAATATAAAAGAACAATTATTTTGTGAAATCTGCATTTACAGAGATCAAGACACATCACAACACAAAACAAATCAGAAACAAACAGAACTGGAGTTCCTGAAACTCCACTTCTCTCCTACAGCTAAAATGCTGCTCCAGAACAACAGAGTATTTAGAAATCATATTAACCCCCATATGCATCCCAATAGCGCAATCTAGAGATACAAAGTTTTTCATTTTAACTTACTCAATTATATATTTTTAATGCTTGGAGGTAAGTTCACTTTAAAAGGTAAGTTTCCTAAATGACAGTACAGGGTCCAGAACTAGGTTCCTAAAACATGCTAAATTGTTTTTTGGGTTGGTTTTTGGGTTTTTTTCGTTGGTTGGTTGGTTTTTTTAAACTTTTTTAACTTACATTTTTGTCTCCTTCATTGACACAGATTTCATAGCAATACGCCAGAAGAATATCAATTAAACCAAGATATACATGATGACGGCTTCTTTTATCCAGAAGATAAGATTTATTTGTGAACTTTCTCAGCTGTTCTCTCTCTTCCTCAGAAAAGACAACTATAAAAAGTAAAAGGATAATTGATTATGAATTTAAGGCTGGCACATTCATTTTAATAGGTGGTAATACTACTTCAACAATCTCTTTAAAAAGAAGCGTGTAACTAATCACAAGTCACTCATCACTCAAGAAAAAGCCTAAATCATCCTTACTTTCATTTTTAACTTTCATTAAACTCTGATATATTGCTTTCAAAGTCAAATTCCAGCCCTGCAATGTACTGCATGTACACACTGGCAATTTTGAACCCCTCTGAAAGTGCCAAAGATTTCTGTGATGCCTGGGTATCTTATACCGAGATAAGGGTCTGAGTAAATTGAAGTTTCTTAAACCTATGTTGTAAGGGATAAAAGTAAGAAAACAGGACAACAAAAACAAATGTATTTTCTTATTGTAGAAAAGGGTAAGAATTAAAGAAATAGGGAAGGAAAAAAAAGGAAAAGTATAATTCTGTATTTCCAAGCCTCATCAATTTCGACTCATCATCTAGGCATGATTTAGGAGCTTCGTTTATGCTGTCTGATAACATCCTTCCAGTGTCTGAGGAAGATCAAAGATAGATCAAAATCCTATCCCCACTAATGTTGGCATCAAAGCTGCATCTCCTTCCAAAGAGCTATGGTATCCACCATCAGTGACCATCATATTTTGCTTATCTTCAGTGTACCTCATTTAGTTAAGAATGGCTATACTGAGCTGACCCAAAGAATCTTTTCACCCAGTACTTTCTCTTTGGGATGCATAAGGAAGACGACAACAACAACATAGCAGGCATGCTGTGACAATGCATCAAAGTATTTCTCTAGGAAACAGTGGTATAGACATAGATAGGTATGGTTGAATATTGAATGGTAACCCTTCTGAAGAGTACTTAAAAAACTTCAGAAAGGATGGCAGAATTGCCTAGAAATAACAGTAAAGATTAAGTAGATAACTGACTAGAAGCCACCTCTGTACAAACTCAAAGTAAATGAAGAAGCCATTTAGTACAATTAAAACAGCCAGAAGCCAGAGCTAAGAGATTTTCATCCAGGCTGCATGGAGCGCAGGCATTCCATGTCAACAGGCTCTGATTTACTGAATAGGATAGATGTGGTGAGCACATTTTGGTCACATCACAGAAGAAAGTTATAGGCACAGGTGACTTGACAGGAGAAAGAAATGTTACTAGCTTGACAGCTGATCCTTTACTGCACTGAGGAAGTCCCACTCCACGATTTGTTCGAGCACCAGTAACACTGGAACCAGCCTGAGTTTAAAATACCACTCATTGAAGGAGATTTCTCTGACACAGGAACAAGCCTAATGCAACACTCTTGTTATACTTCCAAAATAAACCCTAAGTGCCAGGGGTAGATACATGGTGTATCCCTTAACTCATTGAATTTTAATTATTTATTCTAGGGGGGGAGTGGGACCAAAACCAAAACCTTACAATTAATATCAAAATCTCTCTTCAATTATTCTTTTACCACCCCTTTTTTGAGTCACTATGTTCTGGCATACTTAGCTGGGGGCAGAGAAAAGCTGTAGGAAAGATGTACAAACTTAAAAATGTAACACAATTAATGGTTAACACACTAAGATGAGGATGTGATACTGGCTAAGCATTAATATGTTCCTGATAAGGCACCTGAAGAGTCCTTGCTAGCCAGGCAGGCAGCTGGGAAGGGTCAGCCTTTGTGGCTCCCTGAGACAGATCCTTGAATATTGCTGAGACGCCATCTTCCACCAGTTTCATCAGCACTAACAACTTGACCTGATAACCCAACAATTCCTGCCCCAACTTGATTCCCTGTTTTTCCAGTTTAGGATTTTGCATCTTCCACATTGGTATTGACCTCTGGAATCCTGGAGCTACTGATGATCCTGTCTCAACAATCCTACCTGCAATTTTACTGTTCTTAATTTTCTGCAGACCTTCTTACAGCTCTTTCTTAGCAGCATGAGCCAAGGTCATGCAGCTGGACATAACCCAGAGCCCTGGACCTTTGGGACACAGGCAGCCAAATCCCCGGCGGGGGGCTGGGGGGTTACAGCACGGGTTACAGAAAGAAAAGGTTACAACTCCTAATAAACCAAGTTCCCTTTTACACCCCTTGCCCATTTCTCTATCATAAGGATGACGACTGCAAGTGTGCTTATAGATGTTTCTCCTCAAACATTGCTCATCGTCATTTTACACAACCCACATTCTCAGGGATACAATCCGTCTATAAAACATGTGGTCTTCTTTATCCCAGGAGCTTTCCACAAGCTTTCTAATTTTATGACATGTTTTGAAACAAATGTTTGCGATGCCAAAGGCATGTACATATGCACACACCTCATCTCAAGACATAAAATTACGAATTAGGAAAAACATTTTTGAATGTTTCTTCTTTATGAACTTTTTTAATGTTTCTATCGGCTTCATAACCATGAAATACTTGATTTAAATTCCTATGGAAACTTCTTGATGAGCTAAACATTTCTCTGGAGTCAAGCCAGGCTCCATTTATTTACAAGCTCCCACAAAAAGAAATTCCAGCTTTTATATCATCTTGAGAAAGCCAATCTCTTCCACTTGCTATGATATAGTACAAAGTGACAATTTAGCAAGACTATGGCAGTTCTAACTCTGTTTTTCTGTTAATGCAATGCAGTTCAGTATTACCCCTTAAATCACAAATATAGATGATATATCTATATTCTATCAGCAAATTTCTTTCTAAGTTCTTAAATTGCATTGATTCTTCAGTGAGTCACCTCTACCATTCATATTAAAATTATCCACAAAACCGTATGTGCAATGTCATAGCACATTTGAAAAAAATTAGTTTCTGAAACACATAACGTAAAACCGCTTTGTAAGTTGCTACAGTAGGGTGGGTTTAATAAGGTATCACAACAGGGTGTTTACAGTTGGAAGAAGGTCCAATCAGAAAGAAAAAAGGCATTTCCAATTTCAGCTAGCTTTCACTAGAAAACCCTCTCGTGGAGTACAACACAATTTACTATAAAATCATGTGCAAGTGGCACTTTCACCCTGAAGAGAAGCACTAAAGAGGAGAGGTGAAATTGAAGCTAAAGATGGCAAAGAAATTCTGGAAAGCAAACAGCCAAAAGTTTGTCAGCAAAGACTACTACAGTAGACCAGATTCATAAAGCTTAAAATCAGTTTTGGTGACTACAGTAATGAAGAAGTTTGTTACAAGGAAGCTGCTAATTCCTTCAAAGCAAATAAGAATCTGTCACAGACAGAATACCTGTTAAACAGTTATGCCAGCACTCCCATATTTCTAGGCCCACCTCAATGTGCTTGCTACAGTTAGCAGTCAAGATGTACACATAATCAGGAATGCAACTGTTCTCCTTCAGAAATTCATTATATTCAGTACTGGATCCACTACTGAGAATCCACTCTTCTTAATCAGTGACTACAACCTGAAGTTTGTCTCACAGCTGATCAAAATTAACCTCTCTTATCATCAGAGATAAGAAACAGTCCAACACTGAGAGCAAAAAAATTTACTCTCTGAAGTTTTACTAACAAGTATTTGTTAGATTCCCTAAAATCCACATTCTAGAGGAATACGTAAATGTGAACAATACTTCCCTTCTAAGTAGAAAGCAAAGAAACTCCTGGTGAAGTTCATGAAACATATGAGATAGTTTTCTTCCTCTAAAATGCAAACTCTCTGAAGCATCATAACATATACAACTGGACCATAAACACAGAAATTGCAAGTCTACTACACAACAGCAAACAAGAGGTAGATTAGACAATTCCCAAAGGTAAATGTTACAAGATGTTCATTAACTCACTGCAAAGTGCCAGGTGTTCTAAATAAAATTTCTCTCTCTGGAGAAAATACTTCAATTTTACAAATAAATATCTATGCATTCCTTAAAGTTTTTGAGTAAAAAATTATCCAGGCCTGAAACTCGTTATTAACACATCAAAACCACCACCTACTTTGTTTTCCCAATTCAAAAATACAAGTACGTACTAGTAAGATTACAGAACAAGTAAAATTGTAATTACATTTTCTGCTATATTAAGCCTGTACACTTTTGTACACTTGCGTTACCAATGCTTTATCTAACAATACCTGTACAACAATTAATATCAATCTAATGCAAAGCAGCATCTGCTGCTACTTATCAAGTACCAAATTTGCAAGTTTTCCTTAAGTTTGATTTTTAAATGTTTTGTACATTTGTCAGTGCCAAAATCATGCTTCTTCAAGCCACAGTATGTGTATTAATATATGCATGTCTAAAGGAATCAGACAAATTAATCTCACATACAAAGTTACTGTTAGATGGTACTATAGAGATTACCCTTACTTTTTAATCATCTCCTTTTCTTATTTTAAACTAGACATTCCTCATGTTAAAATAAACGTATTTCAAATTGCCCTTCAGTACCTGACTGTCAATGAAGTACAGTTTACTCTCTAAAGGGGAGGATGACGTCCGACAGCTAGAGGGTGTTTTGTTACAGTCCTACTGATATTTTACGCTACCGATCACATCACTTAAATGAAGCCAGTGTAAGATCCGTATCTCAATGACACTTACGGTTCTAAATGTGTTAGGGGTACTTAGATAAAGTGTGCTATCTAGACAGATAGCTGACTCAGTGGTCAGACTCAGAAAATTACAGAAAAGTATAGGTCAGGAAGGACCTCTGATAATCAGCTGGTCTAGCCTTCTGGTGAAAGCAGAGCCTTGGCTTATGGTTCTGTCAAGCCAAGTCTTGAATTCCCACAGCTATCTCGAAGGAAAATAACTAAGCAGAATTGAACCCCCCCCCTTTTTTTTTTTAATGTTAACTAAAATATTATGCTCAAATATTAAAGTTTTTAAATGTGTACTTCTATCCCTGTAAGTTAAAGAATCAGCAACACCAGAAAAAGGAGATTAGTCAGCAGAGAGCAGATGAGTCAGGAATAAAGTTTGCTACTGATTAAAATCAATAGCTAACAAGTCTCTCTTCAAGCTCTTCCTATGA